AACTGTTCATTCATGTCCTTCTTCTTGATCAGTCAGTCGCTCTGATTCGACGTTCCGAGGGAGTGGTTGAATCCGATTAAGCCTTCGATCTTTGCACCAAATGAGAGTTGGAGAGAGGGGGATTTGAAATCCTGCGACCCGCTCAAACTAGGTTTTGGACATTCATCCAACTTAGAGGGTCTTATCGAAATCTCTTGGGATTGGATTGTCCGCTATCTCGTTAATACCCGATTACTGAAGCGCTTATGATTCACGAAGCATACGACAAACTCGTTCTTAAATGAACTCTTAAATGTTGAGGACGGAGCCATTCAATTTTCTTTGGTTTAAAACACTTTAAAAAAATTACCTTAAAAAACAAATACAAAGGAATTAGATTTATTTCCGTTATTTTTGCAGAATGTATTGGCTCAGTCAACTGTTCAACTTTCTATTTTTCTCATCAAGACATAGACCATGACTAGTATCAAGTAGGCTCTTCTTTTTCTTCTGCTTCTTCTTCTTCTTTCTTTTGTCATGCTTGGAAGCATTCACATGATCGACTCATTTCAAGAATGATGCTCAGCCGTTGAAGAAAAAGATGATGTCGTTCAAGCAGTGAGGAAGCGGAAACGGATGAGTAGGTCTTCGTTGCATGTGCCTCCTGCAGTGCAGAACAGGAAACAACAGGTGGAGACGGACCGAGTAGGTTTTTGCTGCATGTGCTTTTGTCCTTCTCGACTGTTGACGATCTCCGGCCAACGCCGCCGCCTCCATTCGATGGCGGGAACGCCCCCTTTGCATTAGCTTCCGACGCCGTTCGTGCCACCTTTTTTTGTCTCCACTATCGGTAGCAGTACGAATCTCGAACGCGATGGACGGTACGGACCCGTCCGTCGAATTTTGAAATACGGGACCCCGAACGCCTAATTTCGACCCCATTCGATGGAAGCTAAAATTAATTATCGCCACTTAAACTGAGTTAAAATCCTCGCTCCGCATCACTTTTGTTCATCGGACTATTACGGATTATTAGACGTATATGTTATATCTACACGGAAGAAAGGAACTCCGCCGTCACCTTTCTCGGAGGAGACGTACTCCGCACGTCTCGCACTAACATGCTTCACGCGGACATGGTTGCGCCACGTGGGTCGCCCTAAACTGAAACAGCTAAGTGGCAGATGGCATGTCAGCAGAGCGCTCGGTGTATGTCGCTTTCGTTCCTTGGCAGAAAAGCACAACTCCCAACATCAGAAAACTCACCTGCCTCCGTCGGCGTCACGCAGCGTCCTACCCCGAGCCCAGTTGGATCCCCGGAGCACCCTGCCCAATCATCGCAACGGTGAGTTGGAGGGGTGAGGGAGGCCCACTCAAAATTGGTTTTTTTGTTTAATGGTTTCGGTCCATCTATTCCATCGGTTCACTGTTGCTATTATCAGGCAGTGGGCAAAGGCAGAGGCAGTGGGGGTGGCGAGCGCTTGGGAAACCGTTCCCCACCACCACACACGTTAACCTTTTTATTTTATCATCCGCACCTAATGACTTCATTACTTGCCTAATATTGACCGGAAACGTCACCCGTTGCCCCTCCGCTCTCCCCGAACTGGAATAGTGGCCGTGAGTACGGCGACCCACAAAGTGTGTGCGGACCGTCTAATTAAATATAATGGGAGATGGTTTTCCCACGCAAGGATTAATAGGAGCGTCCGTTTCAAAATAAATAAGGCCACCCCCCAACCCCCCAAAAAAATAAAAATAAAAATAAAAATAAAAAAAGAAAAGAAAAGGAACATGTGCGGCAAGTTTTGTGAGGCGGAGGGCGCTCCAAGGGACATGGAAAGCAGTGAAGAGGGATAGGAGAAAAGGTTAAAGAAATGGAGGGGTAGCAATTGAAACCGGGAATATGTGGCTCAAATCCGCAGGTTGAAGCTGCAGCGATTCCTTATCTCTCGCTCCCGTCTTCTTCTTGTTTCCCTTCTCGATTCTCAACTGTTATTATTGTTGGCCAAGTAAAAGAGGTGTGTGTGTAGAGAGAGAGAGATGGGTGGCTCTGAGGACGCGTCCGGCCGCAACACGGCCTGTGTCGCCTCCAGCGGCAGCCTCCGTGCGGCCTCCAGGGGGGAGGGCGACGATGGCGCGGAGGAGGACGAGGAGGGGGAGGAGCCCCGGCGCCGCCCGATCTGCCCCTCCGCCGCCGCGGGGTTTGAGGCCGGGTTCGGCAACGAGAGGGAGGTCAGCCTCCGGGAATGGCTGGACCAGCCGGGGCGCGCGGTCGACCTCCTCCAGTGCCTCCATATCTTCCGGCAGATCGCCGACGCGGTGAGCGCGGCCCACGCCCAGGGCGTCGTCGTCGGCAACGTCCGCCCCTCCTGCTTCGTCATGTCCTCCCTCGACCGCGTCTCCTTCATCGAGTCAGCCTCCTGCTCTTCCTCCTCCGACTCCTCCGAGGACGGCGCCGGGTCGCCCGACGGGTTCGGGGAGCGGGGCGCCACGGGAACTCCGGAGAGCGCCTCCGAGATGCCGGCGGTCTCGGCGTGCTTGGAGGAGGCCAAGGAGCGTGGGGAGGGCGACGTGGGCGCGGGAGATCGGACGGCGTTCCCGCTGAAGAAGATCTTGCTGATGGAGTCCATCTGGTACACGAGCCCAGAAGAAGCCACCGGGCGATCGGGTACATTTGCGTCGGACATCTATCGATTAGGCGTTCTTCTCTTCGAGGTTGGCAAAAATCTTCTCTCTCTCTCTCTCTCCTCCTCCTTCTTCTTCTTCTTCTTCTTCTTGTTCTTCTTGTTCTTCTTCTTCTTCTTCGGTTTGATAGTTAGTTGGGATGGGATTTTTTTTGTTCCCAGCTGTTCTGCACGTTCGACTCGCTGGAAGAGAAGCTTATAACCATGTCCAACTTGAGACACCGGGTTCTACCACCGCAGCTGCTGCTCAAGTGGCCTAAGGAAGCTTCCTTCTGTCTGTGGCTCTTGCACCCTCAACCGGATACCCGGCCGAAGATGAGGTGGGTCTCAAATCTTGATTTCGAGTTCCGTCCTCGCCAGAAGAATGGTTAAATGCTTGAGCGTATACCATCTAAAATATATATATTGATATATAGATCCCTAGGTTCATTGATGCAGCACGTTACTTCGTTTAGGTTTCTCGTGAAACCCTTCATGACTTTGTCTTTTTCTATTTTCTATATTTAAATGTGAACTCGGGAGGCTCATGTCTTCGTAGTTCATATGATAATACCTCAGGCAAGATTGTCACCAGCAAACAAGAACCTCACAAGACCGAGGAGCTTACCATTTGTTCTTTTGCCTCGAGGCCTGCCTGATCAATAGGGATGGTAACTCAAAAAGGATTCCTGTCAAGAAAAATTTGTACAATAAGCTATTGTTTGGCTTTCCGAATTAGCAAAAATAATTATTGCGAGTATTATGCTTGTTGCTTTAAGAATGTTGAAGGCTTATAGACGCATTCTTTGCCTTGAGGCCTCTGCCCGATCAAGCTTGGTGAGATACAAAATTCTTGTCGCCATTTATTCTTTTGCCTTGAGGCCTGCCTGATCAAGGATGGTGAAATAAAAGGATCCCTTTCAAGGGAAAATAGTGCAATAAGTTAGTGTTTCACATTCCAAATTAGCAAAATTTGTTATTCTGATTATTATGCTTTTTTGTTTGAAGAAAGATGAAGGCTTATTGACTCATTTTTTTGCTTAGAGGCCTGCCTGATCAAGCTTGGTGACATAAAAGGATTCCTGTCAAGGGAAAATAGTACAATAAGTTATTCTTTCGTTCGCTTTTCAAATTAGAAAAAAAATGGTATTATTATTTGTGATAAGTATGCTTTTTGTTTGAAGAATGTTGAAGCCATATGGATGCTACTAGAATCAAGGTTATGACAAACTTTTCTTAGTAGGATGAGTATTTTACCTGAAGAATATAAATTTCTAAAGGTAAATAGTGAAAGATTTAGTTTTTCAGAACTACATGGCCTAACATGCGTAAGCCAAATTAAGAATAATAGACACATCTGGTTCTGGACATATCTAGCTCAAAAGATTATTGCAGATGTCAAGTTGATCTTTCATTATATTTACTTGTTGATGTGATTATTCAACGAGCCTAGGGTGGTTGAACGTGTTAAATTCCCATCCAGAGCTCTTTCGAAGAGCGACTGCCTTGTAAGCCTGATGAATAACTTCATTCTGACTTTAAAACTGGTTAGTGCTTTTCTAAATGAAAATATCATTTGGATTAGATGTATACACAAGTGTTTGTGCATTTATTGACGTCTCATTTTGCCTATATTTTTCCTGGTGGTCATTTTGTTAACGACCTTCTTGTTTTTTCATATAATACAGTGAGGTATTACATAGTGAGTTCCTTAATCAACCAAGGGATAGTCTGGAGGAGCGTGACGCAGCCATTAAGTTAAAAGAAGAGATTGAAGATCAGGAATTACTGCTGGATTTTCTTTTGCATTTGCAGCAAAGAAAGAAGGAAATTGCTGATCGGTTGCATGATACTGTCTGTTTTCTCTCTGCTGATATCGAGGAGGTCCTACATCAGCAGTCAATCCTCAAAAAGAAGTCATACCAAGAACTGGACAATGATGAGCACTCAGCTGTGGGAACATTGGATAAAGCCTCATTGCATCCCGTGATGGATGAGCACTCATACAGCTCTGGTTCTAGAAAACGCCTCAGACCTGAGCTTCAGAATTTTGTTCCTGAGGAGAATGTTGCTGAAGGTGCAAGATCAGAAACAGATCAGCAAATTCAGGAAAATGCATTATCAAAGAGCTCACGGTTGATGAAGAACTTTAAAAAATTGGAGGCAGCTTATTTTTCTGCAAGATGCAGGCAAATGAAACCATCAGGCAAATCAGTAACCAAATTCTTTCAAGTTACCAGTAGTGGCAGAGGGTCAATGATTAGGACCGAGGGAAGCTCAGTTGACGATAAAGTATATAGGAGAGGAAATACTGGTGAAACGAAAAGTGAATGGATAAATCCTTTTCTTGATGGCTTGCGCAAATATCTAGCATTCAGCAAGTTGAAAGTTAGGGCTGACCTTAAGCATGGTGATCTGCTGAATTCAATGAATTTAGTATGTTCCATGGGCTTTGATCGGGATAAAGAATTTTTTGCTACTGCTGGTGTAAATAAGAAAATTAAGGTTTTTGAATGTGACACAATTCTGAATGGTGACCGCGACATTCATTATCCTGTAACAGAAATGACAAATACATCAAAAATAAGCTGTATTTGTTGGAACAATTATATTAAGAGCCATATAGCCTCCAGCGACTTCGAGGGTGTTGTACAGGTACTGCATTTTTTGTTTGTTAATCTAACAATTTTGTCTTTTGATTTTGTGTGTAAATGCAAACTCAAATCAGGTGTGGGATGCTACGAGGAGCCAAGTTTTTGCAGAAATGCGGGAGCATGAGAGACGTGTATGGTCTGTTGACTTCTCTCTTGCAGACCCAACAAAATTGGCCAGTGGTAGTGATGATGGTGCTGTGAAGATATGGAATATCAATCAGGCAATTCTATTCTTGCACTTGGTGTATGTCTGCTTTTGAACTGTATATACCACACTAATCAATTGGCTTTATGTTGATGAGTTTTCTTTACAATACAGAATAAAGAATATATCAAATGATTGTTCTTTCAGGCTGGAAGCGTGTGTACAGTCAAAACCAAGGCAAATGTGTGCTCCGTTCACTTTCAACCGGATTCTGCATATTCTCTTGCAATTGGTTCTGCTGATCATAAGATCTATTGTTATGATCTGCGGAACTTGAGAATACCTAGCTGTACACTAGCTGATCATATGAAGACAGTGAGCTATGTGAAATACTTGGATTCATCAACTATCGTATCTGCATCTACTGATAGTTCATTGAAGCTTTGGGACTTGTCCACAAGTATATCAAGAATGATAGAAACTCCTCTTCAGACTTTCACGGGGCATATAAATATAAAGGTATGCTGACCTGTTAAAACTTTCAACTCCTGTTGCTTGAATTGTTACTGGTAGTTGGCAATTAGACTTGCTTATTTGGTACAACAGGCTAGATAAGTAAGTTAGTTACAAGTACTTTATCTAGCATTTTGAAACTAATAATTATAATCTAAGAAACAATAGCTCCTTTTATTTATTAAATTGCATTTTCTGTTATTATCAGGTGATGAGATAGGTGCCTCTAGGTCTTTATAATGCCTTCAGTCGCATCAAGAATTTGTGTCTTTTGGTACCCCTGTAACAAATTATTTATCTTGTCATCAATGTTGTGGATTCTACTTGAGTGTTGGAATTTTGGATTGGGAAAGGAAATAGGGTTTCATGTAATAGTGCACCTGTTGTTGATGATAGTCTATGAGCTTTGGTAAATTTACCCATCCTTTTCTTGGGATAATTTTCATGGTCTTTTTGTCATCAATATTTTGTCATCTTCTTAAGTAAAACTTAAAATAAAGGAAGAAAGGTTTTTATACTTGAGAAGCAAATCTTTAATTCTTTGAATAATGGAAACTTCCTATATTTTTAATCTGAATATCATTTCAAGAGGATAAGGAGGCTAACAAGAGGATATTGTTTAGAGTTAAAACTGGATAGATTGGAAAAGGGGTTTAAAATGTTGTGTGATTGTCATGTGCCCATTAAATATAAAATCTTTTAAGCTTGCTATATTTGGTGGGTTATGGAACAACATATCCAGAAAGTTAATCTCATGGATATTGGTCTTATGAGATGGATATATGATGTTACCGTTACAGGGAAAATAAGAACTGCAATTTGTGGTCATTCCAACAGACAAGAAAGTATTGCAAACTCGATGAAGGTGGTTTTGTTATGTTACAATGTACTTATGAATACACTAGCTAGGCAGGATATAGTCCATCCAAACTTATGGTGCAAGGAGAGATAGAGGGACCTCCAGAACATTTTATTGGAAATAAGTAGAGAGATTTCATAGTACTTACTGGAAATATAATTGATGCTGAATATGCCCTGAAAAGCCTTTTATCTAGGTTTGTCTTAGAAGTTAAGAGCAATGAACTAATTGCAGCTGGCACCTGCATTGGGCCTGAAAGCAGGAATATTAATGGCACCACCAATCAGGTAAAGAAGACAAAAAAGGGTGACAAAAAAGAGAAAATGTGATGGAGAACTTACATGTCAAATAGTTTCCTTCAGTCTCCATTTTGCTTGCATGTGTCCAGTCTCCAAGGAGAGCGACAAGATTGATTATGGAGACTCTTTCAATTATCTACATACGTCTTTATCCTTTCCTTGAAACATATAAAAGCTGAAATAATGCTTATCATTATAAGGAAGTTATATTTATGAAATTTGTTCTGCTTGTATGCTACAATACTTGGGTTTCAGGTGTTACTGTTCCCTCTTTGGAATGATTAATATTGTCTGTGCTGGATGGACAGGGAGCAAAGCTCCTAATGATGGTTTGGAGACATTCAATTCAGTTTTAGTCTTTTAGATAATCATCTAGGACTTCTCACATGGAGAATGCATATCTCTAAGTTTGACTTTGGGTATTCTTGTTCTACTTTGTTTGAACTTCAAAATGGATATTGCTAGGTCATTATTGAGTTATAATCTGTACTACTAGCTTCTCTTGGTAGGTTTATTTGCCTATTGATTCTTAACTTTCTGTTGATATGTTGCACTGTCTCATGTCAGCATCCACTTCCTTGTGGAGTTGGTGCATTTGTGGTGCTAGTTTTAATCTTTACTAGACTCAGGATATTTGTATGGTACTCCTTATACTATCATCATTGTCAAACTGGTTTGCACTCATCAGTGTCAAAGTTTTAGTCTTAAGAAAAGTTAATGGTACTCTTTATACTATCATCTTTTTAGATGCTACTCTTATTGGGGTCCTCACTACGTCATACAGATCTTGCATTATCTGATAGCTTTGTTCTATTTGTGGTTTCCAACTGAGATGCAATGGAAATGAAAACAATTCGAAATATGGTTCCAATAGCAGAATAACTTATTCCATATATATAAGAAATAAGACCTGATTGCTGCTACATTCATTCTGGATTTTGTTGTGCAGATTTGGTTTTCTGGATATAATTTGGATTCTACAGTATCTTTCCTAGTTTTAGGCTTCAAAATGCATCTATCTGCGTCCCCTTTGTTTTCTTATATCAATTGGTTTCTTTATATTCTGAACAATTCATTCTGATGGTTTTTCGTATTTGTGGTTTGATGCTCTGCTGCTTCTTCCTTTCGCCAGAATTTTGTTGGCCTGTCTATTTCTGATGGATATATCGCGACAGGCTCTGAAACAAATGAGGTATGTGTTATGCTTCTTTCTGTCAATATTGCTGTTAAAGGGATATATGATACAATTTTTTTTCTTAAGTGGGAAGTGGTGAAAGCAGGATTTGAAATGATTGACAAGATCTTTGTGTGCTATGTTAGTCAGTTCATGTGTTTATATAATTTGTGGGAGAAACTTGTTGATCTCTGGTGGCTATACCATGACTGTGGAGCTTGGGAAAATATTATCAATAGGAAACCAAGACATATTTTACATTTCATAAATGAGATGACAACTATTGGAGGCCACCAGCAGCTTTGAATCAACAAATGTTTGTCAATGAGTTCAAGCAAATTATTAAATAATGTGAACATCTAAAGGCATTAGTTACAGTTCTATAAGTTCCATTGATTTTATTCAGTTCATGAGTAGAATATATGATGACAGAATAGAGGATTGCCAAATTAGAAAATATTAGTGACTTCTTGGGCTCATTTAAATGCCTAAAATTTAGATAACTATATAATTGGAGTAGTTGGTTGCTGCAAGTTATTGTCAAATGAAGCCTAGAGTTCAGTGGTGAACCACATGGCACTTGATGCATGTTTTGACAGAGAGATTAACTGAGATATTGATACATTAGTTGTAAATTTTGAATGACTCTTGTCTGTTTTCATTCATTGCATAACCTCCTAAATTGTAAAAACTATTTTTTTTTGAGATAGAGAGATAATGGATGCCCTAGATAAGCCTGGAGGGCATATTAAGTCATACGAAACCTTTTTAGACTGATTTGATAGACAAGGTCAGCTACTGTTAGAAGTGTCCTAGTGTTCAGTGTATTTCTTCAATCTTTGCCATGTTTCTATGCTAAAAAGTGTTACAAGAGATAGCCGCATGATAATAGCATGGTAGGATGACATTGGAGGAAAAGGAAAAGATACTTGTTAAATTATTGATCTCTCTCTCACCCCTCCTTCCCTCTCTCTCTCTCTCTCTCTCTCTCTCTCTTTCTCTTCATCCCCTCGTGTGTGCATACATATCCATTAGTGTTATTGTGTAATTAGTGTCTGGTATTTGGAATGGATAACTTCTGGTTTTCCGGCTTCTGTTTTTCTTTCTTATCAAAGATACTAAGTGGACTACATTTCAGACGATGGCTTCCAAGAATTTGGTTTTTCTGGGAGCTAACCAGTTAGATCATCGTAGCAAATAAGATGATGAATAAACCTTTAGAATATTTATACATATATATTGCTGACTCTTCTTTTTCCGAAGTTTTACATTATAAAAAATATGTTGATGACTATTTTCAGAGCTTGCTATGTGTTTAATGGTCCATTGTCAATAAGGATCTTGTGACCTAAGCACAAGTCCTAGGGCCAATGTTTCAGTAGATCATCACAGATATGAAAGTCAACACAAATAGAAATTTGGAAGTTTTGAAGGCCATATTGTTACCATTATACTCGAAGCGAATTGCACTCTCGAAGAAGTTGGTATGTTATGGGGATTAAGAAGACAAGCTTAAACTGCAACACTGGCATGTACATGTGAGTTTGTACTGTGCGGGTGTGCATACTTGGTTCAATCCAATTTAATTTGTTTTCAAATAATTAGGCAACTCATTAGATGAAATCATTATTGAACAAGGAAGTTTCAGTGAGCGATCATAAATGATACATACCACAGAATGCTCAAGAATTGTCTCAAAAGCGGTAACATAGAATGCTGCTTGAATACACTAGAAAACAACTAGGAAGTGGCATTTTTTTGGTTCAATTACCTTGCAGGAAGAGAAGAGTTTATGTTGGTCCCTTGTGATGTCCAAATGATTCTTCATCTGTCACATTAGTCAAAATGGACTGCATGTTGCTAAGACATTTTCTAAGCTCAGTCAAGCTTATTCATCATTAAACATATTGTCCATGATTCCTTCGTAGCAAGCAATATCTACTTGGAGTATATCAATATATAATAATGCCTTTGATTAGCTTAATCCCTGACATGCCCATTAGTTTCTTTTGTCTTGGATCAGGTTTTTGTCTATTCCAAAGCTTTTCCTATGCCAGTGTTGTCATACAAATTCAGCATTATCGACCCGATATCTGGCAAGGAAGTTGATGACACATCACAATTCATATCTTCTGTGTGCTGGCGAGGCCAGACTTCCATGTTGCTTGCTGCAAGTTCCAGCGGTAACATTAAATTCTTGGAGATGGTTTAAGTTCAGTGTTCACAGATAACGGCTGTCATCTCGTGGTAAAAAGTTAGTGCATTCATCGCTTTGTCGAGCAGCAGAAGCAATCAAGAATGATAAAAAGTGGCTGTGGTAGGAACGGTGAAGTTAGCAGGAGCCTCTACTTAATTATAGGTGAAGTAGTTAACATATTGTATCATAAAAATGGAAAAGAAGAAGAGGAAGACTAAGAGGGAATGGTTCATGTACATCATTGGTTACAGGTATATAGTCGATTACATCAAGCTTTTCGATCAACTGATTGGGTTTCCTTGGTTAAAGGTATGTTTTCCTTGCAATCTGGTGCATTGGGTGGCCTACATCATGCTTTTGGGAGTGTGATTAACTAGTATAACTGGGTCACCTTCTCTTTACTTTTGATATTCTAGGCTACAAGGGAATGAATGGTTCATGTGCATGCATCACTAATTAGAGGTACATAGTTAATCAGATCAGGCTTTTCAATCAAATGTTTGGTTTTCCTGATTAAAAGTTTGTTTCCACTGCAATTTGGTGCATTGGTAGGTCCACATCTCAAGTTCATCAGCAACAAAAAAAATTGTTTTAGCTGTTCACCATCTTTTTCTTTGATATTCTAGTGGGTATAGCCTCTCGGAGGCCGATGCTGCTGCCATCGAGATAAAACCGGCGCTTGCACAGTACACCCACCACTGTTTAGGCCCCCGTTGATAGCAGCAGCATCTCTCACAGAATCATTGTTGCATGTGATGTATTCTCTCTTGTTTTTTTTTTTTTTTGAAGTTGTGGTTTGTTGGAAGTACTTTTTTGCCTAGTAATTGATGGAAAGACTGGTAGATGTCGAGATGCAGACGCTTCATCAGTTTATGGGGTTGGCTTACGAACCATTGACAGGTGTGTGCAATCTTCTCTCGGCATGACTTAAAACTTATTTGTCTGTTGATCTTTGGTGTGCACGGTAGACTCCTCCATTGGCACACGGTGTGCAACATTGGAGTAAAGAATACATTTTACCGTGGAGCTTTGTTTTCTTAATGTTGTATGTCTCCAACACTGAGTCATTGGATCCGCAGGTGAGTACTGTCGAAAGTAGTGTTCTATTCTACCCAGGATGCATATTTTATTGCCCTTTTTAGGAGAAGACCTACCCTGTTCCGAAACGTGGTACACTTTGGATGGTAGAGATTGTGGAGGACATCGACGCTGTGGATGTTGGTGGTACGTGTTTCATGTTTGACATATGGTTTCATTGTTCGGCCTTTCAAAATTACCTATTAGTTTTACTAGAATATGAAAATGATGAAATCATTCATTTGAATTTTTGGAGACGTTTTCCAGATGATTTATGATCTGTTTCTTTTTTTCACAAAGAAATTTCTTTTTATAACTGTGTTTGGTATAAAATTTATCGGATGGAGGGTTTTGAGCTCTTAATCTTGTTGATTGATTGTTTTTTTATGAATAAAATTTTGAATTCTCAATCCTAGTACTTGCAAAATTTGATCTGCTACATCCTAAATAAATAGAGAACATCTCTTTGTAGCTGATGAAATATTTATAAGTAGATTACTAATTCTAAAGAGACCAACATCTAGCAGCAACCAAGCAGATCCGTATGGGTTATTTGTATTAGAGGACAACGACACCCACAACAAAGTTGGCAGGGGATGAAACCACCGAGAACGTTCGGGATCAGAATCCGCCAATTCCAGACGCGGAGGGCGACGACGAAACAGGGTGCGGACGCCCCACGTTTCAGTAGTCCCCACGTACATTTGGCAACCCCATAACTTTATCAGCTACCTCAATGCGTATACAGTTGACAGGGACGAGAGAGACAGAGAGAGAGAGAGCCACGTGGGACGAGCCTTCGTCATCCGAGTCTTGTGGACCCACAAACTTTATCAGCCACTTCAATAAGTGTACAGTTGACATGGACGTGTACGTGATGCTTAATCATCATACAGGCGAATTGCACGTGACGTGAACATGCGATGAACCGGTTGACTAGTTTCATTTACTGCCTAATTACACTAAGAATTTGAGCAAGTAATATATGGAGTTCTGATTATATTTAAACTATATAAATGAAGATTTATTTTGTAAATATTGCATATATTTTAAAATTTTAATGAGAGAGGAAAATTATTTTATCTATTTTTTAGGATGTTATCATTGGATTACGAGAAAAGTATCCCAAATTTCTATAAATATAGGAAGAAGCATAGAGTTTCGAGCTCGGATTTGGTTAACTCGAGAGAGCATTTCTTTTTCTGTATTTATGATTTCGTAATCGATATAGATTATTGAATTTATACCTATTTTTTATTTTTATTATGTAATTATTAATCTCTGACATCTAATTCTTGCTTTTGTAAGGTACGTTTACTGCGACGCCTCGACTAAAAGAGAGGCTTGAGCTCCTGCGACTCTCTCCCCGTCGGCATGTGTAGCAGATCACGAGCATCTCTCTCTCTCTCTCGTACGTGCTGCCAAACCGGAGTCACGAAACCCGTGGGCAAATCGCCACCACCGAAATCACCATCCTCTCTCTCCCTCTCCTCCTGCTACAGTCCACATTCTGTGATTAGATGCCGACGCGATTGACCTGGTAACATCAGACACATGTCGGATAGGAAGCCTCCCCTGTGGGCCTCCCTTGGCCGGTTGGTGCTGGTGGCGGAGCTGCCTCGCTCTCACTGTTTGCGGTCCCTCTGCTTGCAGACATCCAGGATAAGAACCCTCAAAACTCCACTCTTTTATTCTCTCTCTCTCTCTCTCTCTCTTTCATTCTGCAATAATTCGGTCTGCCCCACTGTTCACTCTTGTTTTCTAGTGTTCGCTTGTTTTGTTGCTGCTGTTGCTGATAAGAATGACGTGATTGCGGGTATTCGATTAAGATCGAGGATGCTTAGGATACGACGATCGATCGGCATCCAATCTAAAATATTTCCCAACCATGATAATGATCATCACAAGCATCTGTCTCATCCACCCACCTATCTATCCATCCATACTATCTCGCAGGATAAATGACGAGTAGAGATGGGAGTCGTATGGGTGGGTATCCTTACATCGAAGCATACAGCTCCATGTAAATTAATCCATCATCATTCAAACATGGATAAGTGTTCGGATATACTTTATCCGACCCAATCCTGCCTACTAAGATGGCATGAAGCAGCTGCTTCCTTGCCCTGTTTTAGCGATACCACCCGGTGAAATAACCGACGCGGCAGGCTCCACCCACCTACCCGTGAGCGGAGTGCATTAAATAAGGATATATTCTTCAGGTGCGGTGTCCCGATCAAGATCCCAAGTATATCCCTTCCCGCTTCCCTCTCCATATCCGGTGATTTTTGATCATCTGTTCTATCCGAAAACACCAAACACAAAAAACACGCTCTCTCATTGATGGAACAAATGGGTCCCGCTATGTAACGCCCACCTCGCTCTTTTCGTGGGTAGCCATCGACCCTGATCGGTGACTCGGCAGCGACGGGCGAGCTCCCGACCGGAAGCGGAAGGGATAAGAAGAGACCGGGTTGGGGAAAGGACGCCAATAATTGAGCCACGGACGCGGGTATCTGACGTGGATCCGCGCTGGGTTCAACCCCTTCTCTCATCGGAAACCAAACCCCCGGACACGGGTCCAATGAGCATCCGCCGCGTAGACCGTCGCGCTGTCCCCCTCATGTTCGCGGCGGCTCGTTCGCCCACGCCGTCGCCGTGGGCTCCACCTCCTCGTATTTAAGGGCGCCCCGTCGACGGCATCGCAGTGCCGAGTTGATCCCAGAGAAAGAGGGCAAAACGAGCTCGGCGAGGCAGCTGAGGGTTTCGATGGGCTTGGTGGAGGCGATGGATGGTCGGATGAGCCTGTCGGACACGGTGTTCAGCTTCTTGGAGGAAGGAGAAGGAGGAGGATCCGGCGCCGGTACCGAAGAGAGCCCGGACGGCAGCTGCCGCGGCGGCGGGGATGGCTTCGACAGCGGCGACGAGGGGACGAGCGACGGCGCCGTGGAGAACAAGGCTTTCTGGGAGTCACAGCAGCAGCTTCTACGAGTAAGTCGTTACGACATGGCGATTTACGTTGCAAAGATTTGATCTTTTATGTCCGAGTCCATGAAAACGAAGATGAAAAGGCCGGAATCTCTGTCCAAACTATTCGATTTGAAGGGGCAATGCGTGTTTTAACGCCTCTCATGCGAAACCTGCAAGTTCTTGTTTGAATCCGATGATCTAACCGAGCCTTCATTTCTCCTCCCCATGATGGATATAGGAAGCCCTTTCTCGGACCAGCTCCACGGAGGTGAAGCTACTGCAGCGCACAAACGACGCCGTAAACAAGATGCGGGCCGAGGGCGTCGTCTGTACTTGCTCGAGTAGCACGGCGAAGGAATGCCGGAACTGCGCACTAGTGTTCGTCGCGGAGCAGCTCCACCGTCTCGGATACAACAGCGCCTTGTGCAAGTCCAAATGGAGGAGATCGCCGGACATCCCTTCAGGTACTCGTGGACGCTTCTCCTTTCGGTGCTCATGGTGTTCCACGAAATGGATCACCCGACACGATATCGACGTACAACCGCAGTGCGTGATGTTGCTCGGCGAAATGGTTACAGGGGAGCACCGGTACGTCGATGTGGTGATGGAAACGAAGAGCGGGAAGAAGGGCCCCGTCAGGCTGGTGATAGAGCTACGCTTCCGAGCGGAATTCGAGATGGCAAGAGGCAGCCAGGAGTACAACAGCCTGGTGAGCTGCCTCCCGGAGGTGTTCGTGGGCAAGCCGGAGAAGCTGCGCGGCGTCATCAAGGTCATGTGCGCCGCCGCCAAGAAGTGCATGAAGGACAACAAGATGCACATGGCCCCGTGGAGGAAGCACAAGTACATGCAGTCCAAGTGGCTGGGGACGCCGGAGAGGACGGGCCCGGTCATGTCCTTCCCGGCCGCCGTTGTTGTTCCGGATCACCCACAGCCCAAGCTCAGGGCTTCCATGTTGACCTTCGACTTGCACCGCACCGCCGTGGAAGTCGTCTGAATCGGAAACTCGACACCGTTTCCGAGCTTGAAACCTCCACCTGGTCTTCAGTTTTGGCACACCTAATTAAGAGTGTAATGTCGCCTGTAAACTATCATCCTTGAATCATACGAGTATTGTAGAAAGGCTGCTCTCTCTCTCTCTCTATTGCTAGTCATATACTAAAGCATGAGTCTTACAGTTCATATACTTAAACAAGCCATTTGAAAGGAAATGGTAGCAGCATATCCACAGGATAACAAGCATTCGGTAGCATCTCGTGAATGGGTGTAGACAACGACACTTCCATCAAATGGATGCTTAAGGGACTCTTACGGTCCCAACGCTGCCACACTCGTGTCTCTTCTCCCATGGCTTAGCAACTGATAAAAGAATTAGTGAAAACCCCCCCGACAAGAGGAGTGAGGCAAGATTGGCCCCTCAATAGTTAAATCTTGAATCATCCACAACAGCATCTCACCAATATGCTCTAATTTTGATCTTATATTTAAATTGATTGTATCAATCAATTCCATCTCTTTCTCCTGGAAACACTGCTTTTTACTGTGTTAGTTGGTAGCCGGTGCGGAAGCTGAGAAGCTGGCATGTATTTGGATGAGATAGGCGTCCATGTTCATCCCATCCAATCACGTAGCTCTTAAGTGTTATTGATTGACACATTGTACCACTCTGTTAGCTGAAAACTCTCAAAATAATTACTTTGATGGTTTATTTTTGAATTATTTTACTGTTTACAATATTGAAACAGCTACAAAGGCCAACAAAAAAGTGATTGATAAATATACTACAAATCTACTATTTATTGTGTTAAAGATATGAACATACATAAGCATTATATCGAGCATCTTATTCATAGATTTGTTCGTGACTTTAAACTTCTAGAATGTAAGAAGTTTCGATGAATAATCATGATGCTTATTCTTAAATCATAGATTAACTGAGAATTAAAATATATAAATAATATAAATAATGGTTAAATTATCTATATATTTAGTTCTTCAAAAGATATCTGGTTCAAAATTTTTTATTAATTTTTCTTATTATTTTAATTTTTAATTAAATTAAACTGTGATAATTGATTTTTTTTCTCAATTATACGAACTAATTACATCCAACGCGGCCCATTACCCCGTCAACGTAACTAATTACACCATCACTGATGTTGCTGATGCAAATATTACGCACGCGGTTGCAGCCAGCGCTTGCATATACAAATATTACGTATATGTGCGGACGTTGTTCGTCGCATGCACCGAGCCATGTCAAGCGACAGAGAAACGAACAGAGTAGCTCTCCTCCGCGTCTGCCATGGCCTGTGACGTAGCAACCGAGAAGAGCAGCGGCGCCGGCGATGAGCCGGTGAGCCCGACCGCCCAGTGCTTGAACAGTTCGACGCTGTCTCTGAGCATTCTGGCAGTTTTCGAGTCCGAGGTCCCCATCGACGACTCACCCACCAAGTCCATTTTGCAGAACGAGATCCCTATCGACGACTCACCCACCATGTCCATGTTGCAGAACGCGTCTTCTCTTACCCATCCATCCACGCTTCTCGTCCATCCGGGTTCTCTCTCTCTCTCTCTCTCTCTCTCACGCACACACACACACAAATACAATGTCATGTCAAGGACGACTACGGCGCCCGGCAATGGAAGACGGTTCCCGTGGAACTGGAGGACCACGCAAACGTCCCCGTCTTCCCCACGGGCTTAGAAACGTACCACGAATGCGTGCAGGATTACCTCGCCCAGACCGTGTGGGACGAGTTCCCACGGAGCCGGCCGCTGTGGGATCTCCACATCATGAAGTACCCAACCAACTCAGTTTTTTTCGCAAAGCAAGGCAAAGAGAAGCTCCCTTGCTGCGTATCTCACCCGCAGCATGCTCGAGGCTCTCCGAAAACGAGGAGGCGTAGGGGTAGAGTAGCTAGATTCGTGAACTGCCAGAAACATCGATCCAAATTAATAGCGTCACTCCAAAGGTGGAATTCGGATCCACTGCTGTATACTTATCCTCAGACTTGACGTTGTCTGATTTAGAAGACCATTTATTTGTCTTCTCATAGGTCTGTGTGGAAAACGAGAACGGACGACGACGCATCGATGACTGATGAGCAATTAATTCAAAGGAAGCAGCCCAATATTTCTTTTTTGTGGGCCCGACTATTCAGTCGAGGCTGTTTATTTTGTCGTCCTCTTCATCTTGTTCGTGAAAGAGGTGTCGATGCCGGGTAACGACACAGGATACGAGTCGTGAGAAGAATGCGACATGACTATTAGTATAATTAAGCTTCCTGCTGTACAACGAGCCGCGATAAGTTGCGAATTAAGACGAGTCAAATGGGACGACGAACGTCGCAATTCAAATGACCCGATTCACCCTCGCAAAACTCAACACGACTGATGACGCGAAACTTACATGAGAAGTATAATTGCTAAACACCAACATGAATCATTCACAATAAACTTCACCGTTCATGTCCTCCTTTATTCGTATACGAGACCCAAACAATAGTATCCGTATCCTCTTTGTCGGTACACAACACCACCCGCTGTGCTTTCAACACCCTACAAAGAACACATAACGGAGATACGACATCCACAAGAATGTGCCAAACTCCATGAACATGAGCAATTTGGTGAATCAATCCATGGAATTAGTGGAGAAGGGCACCGCCAAGGATCATGGCAATCAGTCCAAGGGTGATACTTGATGCACTCACGATAGAGGAGGAGGAGGGGCTTGGAGGAGACACAGACTGCGACGGAGATGACTCTGGACCAGATGGGGTTCCACTAGGGGAGCTGGGGGGAGGAGGAGGAGGAGAACCTGAATTGGGTGGCTCTGCTGTTGGAGTAGGAGCGGTGGCTGGAGTTAAAGTGGAAGAAGAAGGGGATGGTGAACGAGCAGGTGATGGAGAAGGAGACTGGGAGATGGATGCCGGAGATGGGGCAGAGGCAGGAGAACCTGAATTGGGTGGCTCTGCTGTTGGAGTAGGAGCGCTGGCTGGAGTTAAAGTGAAAGAAGAAGGGGATGGTGAATGAGCAGGTGATGGAGAAGGAGACTGGGAGATGGATGCCGGAGATGGGGCAGAGGGAGAAGGAGAAGGCGAAGCAGAGGAAGAAGGAGATGGCGGAAGAGGAGGAGACGAGGTAGGAGAAGACGTGGGGGGCTCGGAGGGAGCTAATGGTGACGGTGAGACAGCAGCCGGTGGAGGGGACGGCGGCGATGGGCTGGGTTTCCCCCCGTTCCTAACAGCCAACACCACCACCACCAGCTTCTGGCCCTTCCGGCAGTTGTCCGGGACGCCGCTGATGAAGAAGAACGGTCCCGACCGGCCGAGATTGAACATCGAATCGCCTCCCTCCAACTTCTGGATCGGATTACTCACGTTGCATGCGTCGTAGTCCTGCTTCGTCACCACCAAAACAGAGTCCGTCCCGTTTTTGTATCTAAACACTGTACAAAGGAATCCATCAGTGTATCCGAAACATGGGAACAACAAGCAGCACCGAAGAACCAAATCTTGAATACATACCGAGTGTGTCATTAACCTGGAACCTGTTCCTCCCAGCCCAGCTGTCGTAGCTCTCCGAAGGATTGGACACCCAACCATCTCTCCCGCCGACGTAGAAAACATAAGCCCCGGAAGAAGTCACCAACCCCATCAAAACCGCTACAAAAAAAAGAGAACTGAGCCAACTTTTAGAGATCTCCATCGTTCTCTGCAATTCCAGCGGAAGATCGCAGAACGGAGCGATAGGCAAGTCAATGGAGAAGACTCAAACTGCTTGGCTGGGTATAAATAGATTGCGCGCAGGTTCACGCATGCCGCGGTGTGGTGACGTGACGGTAAGTTGGCTGCTTCCGAATTACTCTTTTTGCTGGGAGGTATGTTTCGCTTTGGCAAGGATGGATTCGCACCGTGTGCGACGACTCACTGTGGATCGCACCAGAGCCGTGCATCTCTCCGGAGGAGAATGAACGTCCGAAGACTGCATACATTTCAGCCGCAACGTGTTCGTGAGGAAACGATGCGACGGCAGGCGTGCGAGACACGGTTTTCTTGCCGTCATCCCGTGTTCACGACGCGTACACCTGTGAAGTTCTTGGACATGATCACGATCGTATTGCGCCGTTGACCGTGTTGCGGCTCGTGGGAACTCCATTTGCTACGTTGGGGCACACAGCGGTTGGATTCATATCAGAGGGTGGAGACGTAGGACAAGTGCCATTTTGTTTTATGTGTCGGTGGGCTCCAACGTTGCCGATCAACCACATAAATGAGGTCTGACCGGGTTATGACACGTCTCGAGTCCATTAAATGTCGGCCGCAAGCCCGTGGAGAACATTGCCCTTGCCAACCAACGCCACGATCACGATGACGAGACGCCCAGCATCGTTGACCACGCAACGATGATGATCTTTTATAATAATATTATTATACTAACAATTCAACAATGACTTGTTACTATGTGATATCAATGTCACTTAAAGATTCAGCTAATAGTCAAGTTATAATAAATTAACGAAAACTTATTGTAGGCATACATAAAGAGCAAATTTTATAGAGTTTTTAGATTTTTCTCAACAAATATCCCCATTTTCAGAATTTTACCTTCTTTATCTAATACCCCATTTGATCACCTATCTTGTTTTTTTTTCCTCCTTTCTGATGGATCTATTCAATTCTATTACAGTATTTTTGTACTATGTTACAATATATTTTCAGTAATATAAAAATTATTATAATAAAAATACTTTTTTTTACTGCTTTACAATATTTTCATGGTATTGCTGAAAATATTATATAGTATAAAAACACTATGATATAGTATTTTTATTTATTATAATATTTTTTGATAATACTGAAAAAGTTATAACATAAGGTAAAAATATTATAATTGAATTGATTCATCCTATTGACCGACCGATAGGAAAAGGGATAATGGTTTGTTGTCAAATTAAGCATATTCCAGGTATTAAAAAATATAATAATAAAAAACTTGAGAAATGAGATTATATATATATATATATATATATAAAAGTAAGTTTGTGTTGGTCAGTGTTATATAATAAATAAATAATTCTTTGATAAGATCATTGTTGAAAGGTGTTGTCAACAAATCCCTGCTTCGTCAAGTAGACAAAAAGAAAGATAAAACAGCTACACTAAAGTCATTGTCTTTCTTATTGGTACACATACACACCCACCACCCAGAAATACTTTGAACCCCTGGAAAAGAACAATGAAGAGAAATACAACATCCACAAGAATGTCTCAAACACAATCACCATCAGCAATAAGTACGTCAAGAAACAAAAACTTATTAATCATCCATCATCATCATCAACCCGTGGTATTAGTAGACAAAGGCGCCACCCAGGATCATGGCCGCTAGTCCAAGCGTGATCGTTGATGCGCCTGCGAGAGAGGAGGAGTGGCTCGGGTGAGACGGGTTCGGCGACGGCGACGGCGTTGTCTGTGTACCAGTTCCACTAGTGGAGTTGGAAGAGGGAGATGGTGGAGGAGCAGGAGGGGAGGTGGGGCGCTCGGAAGGAGGAAGCGGTGACGGAGGGATAGCTGGTGGAGGGGCCGGCGGCGACGGGCCTGGTTTCACGTTTCTGACGGCTAACACCACCACCTGCAGCTTCTGGCCCTTCTGGCAGTTGCCCGGCGTGCCGCTGATGAAGAAGAACGGCCCCGACCGATCCAACTTGAACTCCGAATCGCCTCCCTCCAACTTCTGGATCGGATTGCCCCCGTTGCATGCGTCGTAGTCCTGCTTCGTCACCACCAGAACCGAGTCCGCATCCTTCCTGTATCTAAACACTGCACATAGGCATCCATCAAAGTATAGCAGATCACAGCAGAGTAAGGCGCAGAGTAGATTGGTATCTATGCATACCGAGCTTGTCATTGACCAGGAACCTGTTCCTCCCAGCCCAGCCGTCGTAACTTTCCGAAGGATTGGGCACCCAACCATCTCTCCCACCGACGTCGTAAACAGAAGCCTCGGAAGACGTCACCAACCCCATTATAACCCCTGCAAGAAGAAGAGAACCGAGCAAGCTTTTGGAGACCGCCGCCATCATTCTCTGCAACTCCAGCGGAAGAACACAGAGTGATGCACGAGGCAAGTCAAGAACGAAGACTCGAGGCTTCGGTTGGGTATAAATAGATCGCATGCAGGTCGACGTACGTCGCTGCGTGGTGGCATTAGGGTTAGTTGGCTGCTTCCAAACGGCTCTTCTCGCTGCCGAGTTGTGTTCTCGCTGTCACGACCCCGTTTCGCTTTACCGAGAATAGATTGGAGCGTCTGCTTTATAGAAGGGTGCGATCATTGCATGGCTGTGATGGAAAGAGAGAGACGTGGATGGCTTTGAACGTTAGTTGTTCATCTGGCGTTAGCTAGGGTTTTACGACGATAGGAACAGTGTTGGCGCGTAAGTTCGTGAACATGATGATCATGATGGTGATCGGACGGATGGTATCGTACTGTTTGGCCCGTTGCATGGCTCCTAGGAACTCCCATTTATTACGTCGGGACACTCGATCCGATGGCTATTGGCTTCGTATCGGAAGGTCAAGGTGCATGAGGAGTTCCATCTTGTAAGATTTGTTGGTGAGCCAGGGAGGGTTTCCATCTACCACATAAATGTGCTATGACCGGTTGTTTTAAATGTTACACAGTCATGTCACCCACATGTTTGTCAGGAGGTCGTGTCCCCAGGCCCATGAACACACATGATCATATTTTTCCTGAATTGTAATTTACCTTCCCAGAATAATTAAGATGATGATGGCATGAGGCAGTCTTTGTTTTGTGCATACGTAGTCTAAATAACTCATAAGATTATGGTAAATCCAAAGCTAGCATACTGTATCAGCTTCGGCTGACCACGGGAAGACAGGTAGCAGAGCCCATGAGACAAGCAACGTGTGGACCAGCCGCGACCCAAGTGGCAACTTGATTCGCTGCACAACTTGTGCAAGTGATCGTCACTGCGCAAAGGACATGCATGCATGCATCGTGGACGGACGGCTGTGATTCTGCAGCGAGGCCTGTCCTGGATCGGCATCGATGACTGTGTGGGTCGCAAATATAATACTGGAAACTTCGGCCGGCACGATTTGTAACTTCAACAGCTGTGTCGTTTCTGATCGAAGAATTAGTACAGCCAAGTGAAAAATATGAAGAATTAGTACGTGTTGAAGGCTTGTCTTCTTATAATGTAAGTATAATAATTACATCACAATAATTTCAAAAATATCGTTCATATTTAAAGAAAAAATATCATGATAGAAAATATAAAATCGATTAACCATCATTTGTCATGCTAATGCCAGGTCAATCCCCTCCTATGCATGTGTACAAGAGTTCAAAAAGTAGCTCGGTTTAGTTACCGAGTTTCTAAGTTATTTCCTCCGTACAATATTTATAGAAATATTTTTAAAAGTTCAAGAGATAATTTGGGTTGTTACGAACTATTTTCTCTATAAAAGTAACTCGGGTCGATTATAAACTATCTCCCTCAAGAATATTTGTAGGAATATTCTAAAAAATCCAGGGAGATCAACTATGAACTACCTCCGAATATTCATAGGAATATTCTTAAAAGTTTAGATGACAACTTTAGTCGAACTACTTTCCTAATAGAATATTCGTAAGAATATTCTTGAAAGTCCAAATGTAGCTTTGGTCGAGTATGAGCTGGTTCCCTTATAGAATATTCGCAAGAATATTTCAAGAAGTCCAAGGGACAGCTCGGATCGATTACGAACCCTTATAGAATATTCATAGGAATATTTCAAAAAGTCTAAGGAACAACTGGGGTCGATTACGAACTGCCTTCTCCATAGATACTTAATAGGATATTCCATCTCCTCAAGGTCAATATAAAAATGTACCCTTAGCTTTAGATTAAGAAATGAGAGACCTTGATACTAACTTAAGCGTCGAAGGGATCGGCTCGGGAAGCTACCCTCGACCTTGATATGAGTTTAGAGAGGTCACGCTCTATTCCGGATGATTCCTCTTTTATGGATCAGGGTCATGTTGTGCTGACAAAGATGTTAATGATATATTTTTTATAATATTTTGGTGTTAGAAGAAGGGCTAAATGTCGTAGGAGCATCCATAGGCTGACCTTGTCCATGAACATTCGGTGAGGAACTACTTTCGACTCACAACAATTCACTTAAACGACATAGTTTCCCCCTATATATACGTCCACCTCGCCACAAGTACCAACATAGTGCTAGCATTCGTTCAATGGCCCTAGACCCTCATCTTTAAAAGTGTCATCAAACAATCGACTTATTCCCGTTGAGGCATTCTTTAATCTAACCTAATAAATGCATGCATTTGTCAACATATTATAGGTTATTACCCCACTCCTACCTCGGTAAGACCAATGGGTGACGCTACTGTTGGAAAACTACAGAGAGCATCACATGCGTAGCGGAAAAATAAAATAAAGTTTCCCAAAAGAATCATATCAGATCGTCATGCGAAGATCAGGAGCGAAAAACTCGTAAAACCAAAAACTACGTAACATGTGTGAGACATTCTTACCTATGAGAGATCGTATATCCCCAATCTGTAGATCCTTATCCATGGATGAAAGAGCTCTCATAAACTCTTTTCTAGCGGTGATACACACGATGAATGAAATGGCAACGCACTTTCTCTTGTGATACCTTTATGCACCACCATAAAGCATCAAAAACAAGAATGAGCTGCCCTTTTTGTTGTTTTCAGAGGAAAGGGAGAGAGGAGAATAGGAGG